AGTGGAAGGATATAATTCTCCTCCCCTCCCTTTCCCTCATCTTCATTTCTCTCAACTCAAATATAGGGTTAAATAATTAATTATTTTTATTCATTTATTACCCATGATATTAAGTAGATTCACTTATTTAATTACATATGAAAATTGTATAAAAATACTGTACAAAAAGGTTGTTTATATACCACTACCCATGATTTTAAGGGAAAAAAAAGCATAACGACTTACATGGGAAGCCACATAGTCATTTAAATTGGATTGAACTGTATTTTACTCTATAAATAATATTTTAAATTTGTAAAAAAAAGTTTTTGTATTGATATTGTTGTACTTATAATTTTGATGATTACAAAATACACTTGAATTACTAATTTGTTTATTTAAGTATGTTGTTTATGACCTAAAAGCTAACAAGAGTGAATGAACTTGGATTGCACTTAAAAAGAACCAAAATGCTAAAATTGGTGTAGTAAGTTGACTATGATTTTCTACAGCCGACTTTGGAGAAATGCAGAAAACATAATGAACTGTCCAGAGTTGGCTCTACAATTTTGCAACTAGATTTAGTGAAGAGAAAAATGCTTGAAGATTTAAATATAGATTGCAAGATTCAACTCTCAAATCCCAAAGAGCTTAAAAAGATTTAAATGCAGGGCATATTCGACTCTTTATTTGGAGAATCGACTCTTTAAACTCAATATCAACTCTTGGTATTCTTGGTTTGCACTAAGAAATATTGGCTAAATTTTATAAATTTGTGAAGAGTCTATTCTTTGGTTTGGAGAGTCGAATCTAGGCTTTATAGATTCAACTCTTAGTTTCTAGATTCGCCTCTTGACTAGACAATAACGACTAGTTTTTTGAATCTGACAAGTCTATTGAGCATTTAATACATCCCAATGACTATAAATAGCTAGTTTTAACCTTGGTTCTATAAATATGATTGGTAAATATCTTTGAGAACCTCTAGTCTAGACATAACTAGCTCAAAAACATGAGTTAAGCTTAGATTTGCAAATCCTTTCAACAGCTTGAGCTTACACTTTCAAATTAAATTTTTGAGAGATCATATTCTTTGTAATATTTCTTTGTATCCTTTTCTTTTGTGATCTTAGGAGTAAGTGAAGTTTCAAGAAAAGATACTTGAGGGTGAATGAAGCCTTCAACAGAGAAACCAATGTGTTTGAGTGAAAAACACATTGTAAAATGATTAGATAATTTCTTTAAACTACTCTTAAGTACTAGTGGAGAATGTAGAGGAAATTTCTTATGAGTGAAGCTGAAACAAAGGATCAAATGCCAAATGGCTAAACTAAACCTTTGTAAAATCACTTGTGCAAGGTCTTCTTCTATACTTTCTTTGTTTCTCATTTGATGGTTGCAAAAAGAAGAAAAATTTGAAGATTTTAATTCACCCCATTCTTGGAGTATTTGAGCCAATAGTACTTTTGATAGAGTATCCCCAGAGTAGTGTTCCTTACTAATCCTTCCCCTACATTAACTTGGTATATTTTAATTTTCTTAAGTGCTAAACTCCAAAACTTAAATTTTAAATATGATATAATACAAAATAACACTTACATACCAATAAATTTAATTTTTGAGTTAAAAAAGTTTTTATTATTGACTAATTTATTCTTTCTTTGCCAAAGTTTATCGACTCTAACATTGATTAGGTGTGTTCTGCTAAAACTGAACTTGCTCAATTTTTTTCATGACACTGAATTTGCTTGATTTCTACATTGAGATTTGGGTTGATTTGCATATGGCTTTAATTTTGGAAACTCATAGGTTTTGAATCTCGTTCTATTTTTGCATGAATTTAATTGATTTAAGTTTGATTTCTACATGGGATTTTGTCGGTTCTCCTTTCCTTATCTTGGATTTGTGTGGTTAGGGCGGGGTAAGACGAACAAAAATGAGAAATAAGGTTACAAAAGTAAAAAAGACAACATGTTTACTTTTATAAATAAAAATATTTATTTTTTTAATATTTATTTATTTTTACTTATAATTTAAATATTTTAATAGTAATTCAGAATAAAAAAATAAAAATATTTACTTTTTTATGAAATATAAACTAATCAACCTAAGTGAATATATAGTTTGCTGAGTAAATAATCCTGTATTTTCGTCTCATATTATCACCATCCCCTACTATAAGTTTACTTTTATACCCTATATTTCCTATTCATCCATGGCCTTGTTATGTAACGAATTAACGACTTATTTATTTAAAAAGCTTACTTGCTTTAGAACAAGCCCAAGCAATTCCATCGGATCGTGGCTTGTTGTACTGAGCCAAGCTGGTATGGTTGCTTTAACTATGACATATCGGATAGAATTATTAAATAGCCTCCGTAGCATAGTGGTAGTGCGTTCGCTTCGTAAGCGAAAGGTCGCGAGTTCGATCCTCGCCGGGGGCTCTGTTCTACGACCATTGGTTTTTATGATTGCTGGGCCAGAGCCTCCAACTTTTTGAGTTATTGTGATTGGGCCAAGTTCTGTTGGCTTTATGGGTGATTTGGGCCTTAAGAATTATTTGACTTGGCTGAGCATGAATTTTTTTTTTTTTTTGACCTGGTTGAAACTGGGAAGTAATTTTTGTTGGGAAACAAAAAGAGCTGACAATTTAGAAATTTCCTAGTCATGACTTTCTCTCATCCTTTTTTACTTATCATGTATTGCATGCTCTATAATTCAAATTTAAGATTATCATTAATCATAATATTGTAGAGAGTTTTAGTAGAAAGGAACGATCTTACTCTTGCATCAATATATAAGTCAGACAAAATGAAAATTTTGGCACCCTCGTTATGTGGTTGCCTTCTCCAAAGGACCACAATTTTCCAACATTATTAATTAGGCCATAAAAATGAACAAAAGATAGAGTGAATCCCTTTTTGGGTAACAAAAGGATGCCAGGAGCAAGACAAGGATTACATGTGCATCATGTTGCCTGCGACTCTGCCAAGAGAAATGCCCCCTCATCCTGTACTAGCTAGGGCTAAGATCCTCACACCGTCCATTAAGTATTTGTTTTCCAACCAGCTATATATATGGTACAGACAGAAAATCCTGGGTTCAGAATTCAATGGTTGAAGCAGCTTCCATTCATCCCAAGCCATGTTTTGAAAGAGATATGCAGCAAAAAGAGTGTATATGAGTCCAATTAAGTGTCATATGCATGCCACAAAATTTTTCTTATTTGAAGCACTATATTTAAACACAAAACTTTTCAAAGTCCTCATTGATTAGCTCCTATAATACATTGAACAAATGTCTCATTGACAAGAGAATAGTTTGAAATGGTTGGAACTTACGTATACCAGATATTTTGGGAGAATTAAAAAAAAAATTATATATGTTTATTAATTGCTCAATTATAATTAAATCAAGTTTGACTAGGGCTTATAAACTGAGTTTAGGTTTTGCCTATTTACACTCTTTGTTTAGAATGGGAACTTGGGGCCTTAACCTGCTAGGAAAATATTTTATTTTTATTATTTTAAATTTTTTAATTTAATTTTTAATATTTAAAATTAAAAGAATATATCTGAAATTTAAACACGACTTCTAAGTAATGGATACTTTTTCAAAAATGTCCGTCTAAAAAGAAATAACCCACAATTGGTGTCCAATTGGTCGGTATAAATTTTAATAGAAGGATTTAAATTTTAACATCTAATTATAAGATAATTTATAAATTTTATTATATTTTAAAGGATTTTTGAACATTTAAAGGAAGTAAACTCACGCCTCAAAACTTGTTTTGTTCTTCTTTTGTTTTCTTTTGTAACAGAGTAGGTAGGTTCTGACGGGTAAGTTAACCCCTAACAGGGATTACAACGGTGTTAATCATCGTTTCCTAGAGTCACAATCTATTATAGATACAAGATTTAATTTTGTTAATCATAGTTTCCGAGAATACACTTTACTGGCATGCTTGAACTATGGTTGAAACAGTTTTCTAAAAAAAAAGAAAAAGAAAAAAGAATTATGGTTGAAACTTGAAATTGACTTACTAGTAGCAGGGATGGGGAAGAAGGTTGGCCAGGAAAAAACAAATTAGGGATGGGAAAAAGTTTAGACAGCCTGCCAGATTTTCCGGTGAGTTGGTAGACAACAGACGAATCAAAGTTTGAAATTTAAATGCTTTATTATTATTATTATTATTTTTTAACCTTAAATTTAAATGCTCTCGCAGCTGCAGTGGAAGAGCACACGTAATTAATGAAAAATGATTAAGGTAGAATTTTTTAGATACAATTTTTTTATGTTGAAAAATAGATTTATAGATAGATATAATTTAGATTGTAAAATAGAGGTTTTTTTTTATATAATTTTATATGTTATTTAATAATTAATTTTTATTTTTATTTTATTAATATTAATATTAATGATGTTATACACATTTACTTATATACCAATACATTAAAATTATAATTAAAATTTATATAAATAAATTATTTGTATATTATTACCCTTCAATTAATACTTTTCCTAGAACTTGCAAACAATTTTTCCTTAGAGCTATTTGGCAAATTTTATAGGCAAGTGTTGCTCATAAACACTTTTTTTTCTTTACTAGAGTCTTAAAATTTTTTGGAGGAGACATGTAGCTTTTAGTATTTAAAATGCATATAAACAAGTTTTGTTTTTTTTTAAAAAAAATTTCTTTAAAAATTGCATTTCAAATTTTTAAAAAATAGTGTTTTTCTCCTTAAAAAAATTAAAATCTTAGAAGAAAACGCCTATAAGCAACATTAGCGCCATTGGGTAAAAAAAAACACACGCACATCCCTCGTACCTTAATATTAATTACTATAGAACAATTATGGTTATGGCCACACAAATTTATATAAGTGACAAAAAATATTGTAATAATATTTTGATTTGTTTAATTTTATTAATTTATATAAGTTATGACTAATTAAGATATCTAAAAGTCTTAATTTATAAATTAATTTTAAATTATTAAGTTGTAAATATTAATTTTTTTTATCAATTATTAAGTAATAATTATAGTTTTTAACTATTTTTAATAATAAAACCAAGGGATTTTTTAACATGTGTTCTTAG